GTTTGGACGGCTCAGGGCCGCTGACAACACCCGCTGTACCACCACCAGTCTCTTCTGGCCCTGTCTGCGAGGGCCTGGAGCCATCCCCACAGCCCGCCCTTCCTCTCTAACCTACCGCTGCCAGACTTCTTTCCCTCCTCCCTTCTTCCCTTTGCCTTCTTTCCAGGTTCTCCTGCCTGATGCTCCCTCTGGAGAATGTGCCGGTGGGAGCTGTCTGGCTCGCCCGTCCTCTCCTGCCCGCCCCCACCACCTATAAGCCCGGACTAGGAGATCCAGGCTGACAGCTCCTAGGGCTGCCTCCCTCCCCAGGCCAAGTGGAAGAGAAAGCATGGTTGACCTAGGGGACGGGGCCAGAAGGGAGGTTACTTTTCTCTTATCCCACTCCTAAGGCTTCCAGTCCTAAGAAGAACAGCCATGTTTCCTCGACCCTGGACACCCTTCCCCACCCACCCCACCTCCAGCCCAGGCTCTGAGTCCTGTCTGCTCCTCCAGGCAGAAGACATCTAGACGCGTGCTCTAAAGGGATGACTGAGGGGGGAGGGGAGGCCAGGGAGCCCCAGGAAGGAAAGCAGTGGGGTCAGAGTGGGAGGAATTGCGATGGTGAAGGGGACCACAGAAAGTGCCCTGTATGGGACCAGCAGTTAGCGTAATGGCTATGTTGCTGGACTCCCATGTAGTCGTCTGCGGTTCGAGTCCTGGACTGGTGGCTTAAACTCATGCTGGGCGCGTGTGTGTGTGTGTGTGCCCAAGATCCCGAGAGGAGAATGGAGGAGAAGGGATTGCGGCGTGACCATCCCCCTAGGGGGTGATTTCTCACTTTCTGTCTCTCTGTCTCTCTCTGTCTTTCTGGTGAGTGCTCGTGCCCTATAGCATCTCCAAAAGAAACAAACGAAGAAGGTGCCCTGTACAGGACTAGTTTAGCCAGGGCCAGTCGCAGCAGCCCAGCCCCAGCCCCAGGGGAGGTGGTGTGGGACTCTGGGAAGCCAGAGACTGCTGGGACAGCCTCACCCTGGAGGAAGTGCTTGGCTCACTGGGCACAAGCAGGTGAATGCTTGTGGCCCAGCGGCAGTGGCTCAGGCAGGAGGGCACTGCTACGTCATCCTGGCCCTATAGGGGCATACACTGGGTGCACCTGCGATCCTGGCTGGCTGGAAGACTGGTGGTGGGTGTAGGGGCGGGCTGTTGTGGTGTGGTGAGACCCTGTCAGGGGTGCCTGTCTCTCTCTGTTTCTCTCATGAAAGAAAATAAACTTAGAAAAAAAGAGGGGGCAGATGATGGTGTCTCTGTGCTGACCCACATGGGAAGGCTCTCGGCTGGCATCTGGAGATGCCTCTATGAAGTTGAGCACGCACATGCCCATGATCCAGGGCTGCCCGAGACTGGGTAGGGTCCCCGTCGAGACCCTGTTGAGGGTGCCGTCTCTGTCTTTCTCTTTGTCTCTCGCCCATGGAAGAAATAAATAAATTTTAAAAACTTAAAAAAAAAAAAAAGAGGCTGCAGGTTGGTGTTCACAGCTGTGCGTGGGCCTCTGGGCGTAGGTGAACAACGCAGGGTGGATGTGTGCACATGGGTGTGGAGATGGTGCGTGTGCGCTTCCTGTGTGCAGAGCCAGGAGACAGAGCAACACTCAAATAGGGAGCCTGTCATCGGGAGGAATGCCAGGCCTTGCCACTTTGGGGGAAACGCTCCAGAGAAAAAAGACTCATCCCCCCGAGGTCACTGCTTCCTCTTCCTCCCAACCTATCCTGTGGCTCTGGCTCTCTCGGGAGGTGAAAGAAGGCAGGCGGGAGGGGTGGCCTGGGCCTAGGGATGCCACCTGAGCCCAGCCAAAGGCACAGCTGTGAGCTACATGCAGCTTGCTCCCCCAGAGGCTCCGAGCCCCTCCCCTTCCTGAACTGGAGACTGGGAGGGCAGAACCAGAGGGGGGACAACCTCCTCTTGCTTCTCCTCCTTCATCTCATCTCCCCTCCCTGCCTCTTTCCTTCCACAGTCCTGCCCATCTCACTCTCTCTGACAGGCTCTGTCCTTCCAGATGATGTGGTATTTGAGGCCAGAGATAAGCCCACGGGTCTTGCTGACAAGCTTGTTTTCCTATGCCCTGTTTTTTCCTCCAAGTGTTTACTGAGTTGGGGAAGGACCTCAGAAGGGTGTCAGGGAGGGCTGGGCAGGCAAAGGCAATATCCAAGGCACCCCTCACTGCCGAAGTGGCCCCATGCCATTTCCCTTCATTTCTCTACTAATTCCTGAAGGCTTGATGTAGGTGTCAGGGTGAGACCAAAGGGGCAGGGATCTCTCCCTTCCTGCTCTGAACTGTAAGGCCTGTTCCCTCTGATGTCCTGCTTGGGGTGCTGCCTCCTCACAGTCTCTCAAGGCCTTGGGGCAGGGGGCAGACAGCCTGCTCTTACATAGGCCCTCGGGCTGTCAGGGGCCCAGAGTCCCAGCTTCCAGCAGAGTAAATGACAACTGCAGAATGGAGTGAGGGTCCTTCTTCCCCCACCACCTGGCTGCCCTAACCAAGCAGACACAGCTGTGAGAAAGAAGGCACATTATGAAACTGCCCTGATCACAGGGGTTTTTGTTTTTAAGAGATTTGTGCTCTAAGATATGAGCTCACTGAAGCGAGAGAGAGAGAAATCACGCCCAGGGGGATGCACAATCCCTTCTCCTCCATTCTTCTCTCGGAATTTTGGGCATGCACGCACATGCGCCTGGTGTGATTTTCAAGCCATCAGGTCCAAATCTCGAACCATAGTCAACCATGTGGGAGTTCAGTGCCTTAACCACTAGAGCATCTGCTGGGCCCTGTGATTACGGGTTTAAAGGGAGGGTTACAAGGACCTGTTTTGACCCACCTCGTCATGTGTGTCCCTAGGAGCCCTCCTGGGGTTAGGAGGCCTAGATTCCTCTGCTGGCTCCTGGGTGGGTACCTTTTCTGCTGCTTGGAGTAGACACTGGGAGATGCCTGGCATTTCTCTTTCAGCTCTCAGCTCAGCAGACTTCTTTCTAAACTTTTTTTTTGCTAGCGGGTGTGCATGTTCACCAGAAAGAGAGAAAGTGATAAAGCAATAAAGCACCTCCTGTGGGGGATGGTGACAACACAATCCCTTCTCTTCCATCTCTCTGTCTTTTTGGGATTTGGGGTACATGGAGAGGTTTTTTTTTTTTTTTTTTGAGAGGTTTTCGCTCTAGGGCGCGTGCACTCGTCAGACAGAGAGAGATATAGAGACAGAAAGCGAGAAATCACCCCCCGGGGGGGATGGTCACGCCGCAATCCCTTCTCCTCCATTCTCCTCTTGGGATCTTGGGCACGCACGCACATACACCCGGCGGGAGTTTTAAGCCACCGGGTCTGGGACGCAAACCGTGGTCGACTACGTGGGAGTCCAGCGACATAGCCATTACGCTAACTGCTGGTTCCCCATGGAGAGTTTTTAAAGCCACCTTGTCTGGGACTCAAACCATGCAGTCAGGCATGTGGGATCCAGCTGCCTTAATCTCAATGCCACCAGCTGGCCCTAAATCTTTTACTTATTTATTTTTTAGGTTTTTGCCATAGGGAGTGTGCACTCACCAGAGACAGAGAGAGAGAGGGAAAATGAGAAATTACTCCTTAGGAGGAATGGTCATGCCACAATCCCTTCTCTTCCAGTCTCTTTTTCGGATTTTGGGGATGCATACATATGTACCCAGTGTGATTTTCAGGCTACTGGGTCTGGGACTCAAACTGTGGTTGGCCATATGAGAATCCAGTGCCTTAACCACTACACCACCTGACAGCCCCCTAAACTTTTCTCAAAAAATAATTTAGAAAACCCTTGGGACCAGCAGATGGTATAATGGCTATGTCGCTGGACTTCCATGTAGTTGAACATGGTTCGAGTCCCAGACCTGGTGGCTTAAACTCACACCAGACACATGTGCGTGCGTGTCCAAGATCCAGAGAGGAGAACGGAGGACAGGGGATTGTGGCGTGGCCATGCCCCTGGTGGGTGATTTCTTGTTTTCTGTCTCTCTGTCTCTCTCTGTGTTTCCGGCAAATACACACACCCTATAGCAAAAACCTCTCCAATAAATAAATTAATTAATAGCCCCCACATTTATTTATTTGTTTGTTGAGATTTTCGGCTGCCAGGTCTGAGACTTGAGCTGCGGTCAATCATGTAGGAGTCCAGCTCTTCAACCACCACGCCACCTGCTGCTCCCTCTCAAGACCTTCTTTTAAAAGTTATTTAGGAGAAGCCCTGGTTGCCTAATGGATAAGGCATTGGCCCCCTAAAAGTTATTTAGGGCCAACAGGTGGTGCGGTGGTTAAAGGTGCTGGATTCCCACATGGCCAACCGTGGTTTGAGTCCTGGACCTGGCAGCTTGTTTTCTCACTTTTCCCTTCTCTCTCTCTGTCTCTGATCAAATTAAAATAAATAATAATAACAACAAGTGGAATAAAGTAAATAAATAGTCCTTTTTAAAAAGTTATTCGTTTTATTCATGAGATGTGCATACGAGAGAGGGGGAAAGAGAGAAGGAAGGAGAAAGACGCACCCTCAGGGAGGTCTGGTCCCACTGAAATCCTCTCTCCCCAGCCTTTCAGCTCCTCAGGATCTTGGGAGTGCCTGCTCACACCTGGCATGTTCCAGGCTGACCGGGCTGCACAGCCAAACCCAGAACCCACGGTGGCCACGGGGCTCCCAGTGCTGAAGTCCAGCCGAGCCGCCGCTCGCTGACTCAGATTCCTCCCTCAACAGCCCACTCGCTGGTCCTTCTCCCTGTGTGTCACCACGACCAAGACAGCCGGCTGGGGAGAATGACTGCCGAGCACCCAGGGTCACTGGGAACGTGCCATCTCACTTGGGGCCTACCTGCCCCCAGCTGGCAAGCAAAGCCCTGAGAAAGCTGACACGCCCCGTCGGCTGCCCCGTCGGCGCCCACCAACCATTCCTCTCCCCTAGTCTGGAACCCTAGCTGGCAGCTCTCCTCTCTCTTTCTCCTGCCCACCTTCCCCTCTTGCAGATCCCCATATCTGAATTTCCTTGGACAGTGTGAGACAACAAAGAACCCAGAGAGCGTAGGAGTGAGGGCACAGCGTTATTATCTCCTTATTTCCCCAAAGGAACAAACCCAAGCCCTCCTCTACCTAGAGGGACTTGAAGTGGATTTCCCCCAAGGAGGGAGGATGAGCTGGGAGGGGACAGGCTCAGGCCGCTCCACCCACTCTCAGAAAAGGACAAGGAAGCTCTGCACAGAAACCTGGGTGCAGAAAAGAAAGCAGGCCTCCAGCTTTACAAAATAAAGTGTTTGTTTATTATGAAATTAGAGATGGAGGCCCCTCCCCTTCCTCCCTCTTTCCCCTCCCCCAGCTGCCTCCGCCTTTTCTTCCCCCTCTCCCCCTGGGGCCTGGGAAGCACACAAGACAATGCCCCAGAGCTGGGATGCCCAGGGCAGGCTGACAGCTGGGCAGAGCTCCAGGGAGGCGGCCACAGGGGGGGCCTGGAGTTCTCGCCCTGGGAGGTGGGCTGGCTCCCTCTCTGCTGGAGGCCAGTGGAGCCAGGACGAGGCCATGAGTGATGGATGGAACCATGCGGGCAGGTCTGTAAGGACACGGGAGCTGTGAGTGGGGGAGGGGCTCCGGCCCCTTCTCCCCCTTCCCCGCGGCCCCACCCAGTCTAGGGGCACTGACCTGGGGCAGAGCGTCCCCTGCAGGAGGGTGGGCAGCAGTGGCTGGAAGTTTCTTTTGCTTTTGGGATGGACAACAGAAAAAAAAAAAGCGTCACAGGGACCCAGACAGGAGGGGAGATGTGGGCAGGAAACAGACACTGAACATGTGTGTGGGCAACAGAGACTGAGAGACTCAGGATCGTAGAGACAAGACAGCCAGGGAGAAAGAGTCACAGTGAGAGAACAGAGGTTCAGGGTCAGAGCTACAAACCCAGACTCGGACTGGGGGAGTGTCACAGACAGATCCCTGGAGAGACATACAGAGCGACTCCGGAGGAGGGAGGGAAGAGCACGGGTGCCCTGGGAAGGGAGGAGGGGGAGGGACACAGGGACAGGAGACCTGAGGCCCCTGGGCTGCTGCCGCCTGCCTGGACCCCGTGGGGTCACTCAGAGGGCCTGTGTAGGCTGTCCCACTGCGAGGGGCAGGGCCGCTGCTCACGGGGCCGGGGGCTCCTTGGCCCCATACAGCTCGGCCAGGGTGCGGAAGAGAGTTCCCCAGTCGTCCAGCGGCTCCGCGGGGCCAGGAGTGCCGCCAGCCTCGCTGCCAGATCCCAGGGAGCTGAGGGAGCCGCAGGAGGAGCCCCGGCCCTCGTAGCCGTACACCTGCACCGAGTCGTACGGGGGCACGCTGGGGTCCTCGTCTGCCTCGCGGAGCCGCAGCGCCAGGAGCTGGGCCACGTCGGCTGGCCCCGGGGGCCTGGGCTGGCGCGGAGCCCGAGCCCGGGGCAGCACATCGCGGCGCGCGGGCGGGCCGGGGGCTGGCGGGGCTGCTCGTAGGTGATGATGTTCTCGCGGACGTCCTCCTCCTCTAGTACCATCAGGGCTTCCTGCTTCTGCCGCCGCAGGGCCACGAAGAGCACCACCAGGGCTGCGCGAGAGACCACGCGGGGCGGCTGAGCAGCCGGTTCCGTGCTGAAGGGAAGGCGGGTCAGGTGACAGAGGGGGCAGTGGAACCTCGTGGTTGCCAGCCCTAGGTTTGGCATCTGAAAACCTCGCTTCACCCCTTTCTGGCTGTGTGACCACGGGCAGTTGCTTAACGTCTCTGAAGCTCGTTGACCCTTAGTATACATGTAGGGAAGACGTGTTTACTTCTTCCGGGTGTTGAGATACCGTAAACGATGTGCTCACCTATACTTGGCACAGAGTAGGGGGCTCAATACATAATTTTTATGGCTTCTTGCTGTCATTATGGATTGGCGGGTCAAGAATATGAGGCTAGAGCTTTTCATTTGGGCACGCTGGGTGGTGGGAGAATCCCGGCATGAAGGGTCCTTTAAGCCTCCCCGGTTCCCTCTGTCCAAAGACCTGGTTCCTCTCCACACCCCCAGGCTGAGACCCCACACTGTCTCACTGTGGCCTGACTCACCAAGCAAGGTACCCACACAGGTGACGATGGCAAGCAGGGCGCCAGTGCTGAGCCCGGCAGGGGAGAGCTGAGCCTCTGGCCGGCAGGAGGCCACGGAGCCGTCAGGCCGGCAGCGGCACACGCTGACAGTCACCGTGGCAGTGCTGCTCAGTGCTGGCTGCCCCCAATCCCACAGCTCTATGGGGACCAGGTAGGGGGCCTGGCGGGGCGGAGCAGGGCGAGAGGGCAGCAGTAGGCTGGCGGAGCCATCTGTGGAAAAGGGAAGGTGTGGGCATCTCTGGGGACACTTGCCCATGAGGGTCAGTCCAGCCGACAGATCAGATCCAGCTTCCAATGGGGAAGGTGTGTAAAAGCACAAACGAGTGTAAATTCACACCTACCTTCTGTCAGGTGGAAGGTCCAGACAGGTGGGGCAGGGGTCAGGCAGGCTGGGCGGGGGCGGTGGAGAAGGGAAGGAGGCAGGCAGGGGCATGGAGGTAGAAGCCCACCCACCTCGATTGTCCCGGACAGTGAAGTTGGCATCCGGGCCCAGAGGACCTTGAATGGACACCCGGCTACTGTTGCCCACTTCGTCTCTGTCCAGGGCATGGATGACCTGAATGAGCTGGAAGGAGAGAGGCCTCGTTAGGGGTGGATGGCTGGAGGCGTTGAGATCCCCACCCCTTCACCTGAGCTGCTCACCTGGCCGGGCGCTGCGGAATCACACACAAAGGTGTCATAGGGCTCAGCCAGCTGCGGAGCATTGTCGTTCTCATCCAGGGTCTGGATGGCCACCTGCACGCGGGAGGCCTGTGCGGAGCTGTCTGAAGCCAGAACACCAGCACACACACACACACCAGACAACAGAGACAGTGCGTGGGCGTGGACACCACTGGCAGCACGAGTGACGCACAGCCACACGTGAAATGCGTGCCAAATACAAGTAGCAAATAATGTCGCGAAACACATGAAACACTGAGGACGTGCAATATTCCTGCAATTCCCAAGACATGTGTAATAGATGAGGTATTCAACAGGGATGCAGCACCCGTGATATACAGATAGGATGACCTGTGTGCAGGGCACGTGCACATAAATGGAGAGGTAGAAGGTGCGTACAGATTGTGCGCGGGTAATAACCATGAAATATGCAAACACGGTCATATCACATATCTATGCATATTTAAATACCTTCAGCATTTAAAACGAATGCAACATACATGAAGTGCGTGTTTGATACACACAGTGAGTGCAGTGTCTCCTTCACCCCTAGGCCTAGAGGATGCATTTTCACGCAGATGCCATACATGGCACCACTGGCATGGACAGTCACACACACCCCCTTGCACATGCACGCGCGCACTTCCCATCAGAGGTCTGAGAGGCTGTAGTGCAGCAATAAATATCACTTAGAGTTGACCTTGGGGAGGGAGGAGTTGCCTGATCTACAGGGTGCAGGCCAGTCTGGGCACCGCAGCCAGACACGAGGCCCCTCTTCACCCATCCCTTCATCACATGGCTCCTCACCATTACCCTGCCTACTGTCAATGTCATCCGAGAGAGAATGCAAGATGTGTTTCTCTGTCACCTCTCCTAGGCGGAGTCTCCCAGTTCCTTTCATCTTTCCTCCAGGCAGGGGAGAGCTGGCTAGCCTGGGTGAAGGGCTCTGAGGTTACAGAGTGGGCAGGGGAGACTGAGGACTGCCTGGCTACAGGGTCTGGGAGACTCTGCAGACAAGATGGGGATGGAGTCCTCTCCTTCACTGTAGTCAGCGCCCAGGGCTGCTAGTTCCTATCAGGGTGAGGGTAGGTGCAGGATTTGCCATGAGGGTGAAGACAGTGAGGAGAAGCACATAGACACACACAGAGCTATGCATGCATAAGCAGCCACACACACACACACACACACACACACACACACGCGCAGACCACACATTCCCCGGGCGACCCACACCGCAAAAAAAAGTGAAGTTGGCATCCGGGCCCAGAGGACCTTGAATGGACACCCGGCTACTGTTGCCCACTTCGTCTCTGTCCAGGGCATGGATGACCTGAATGAGCTGGAAGGAGAGAGGCCTCGTTAGGGGTGGATGGCTGGAGGCGTTGAGATCCCCACCCCTTCACCTGAGCTGCTCACCTGGCCGGGCGCTGCGGAATCACACACAAAGGTGTCATAGGGCTCAGCCAGCTGCGGAGCATTGTCGTTCTCATCCAGGGTCTGGATGGCCACCTGCACGCGGGAGGCCTGTGCGGAGCTGTCTGAAGCCAGAACACCAGCACACACACACACACCAGACAACAGAGACAGTGCGTGGGCGTGGACACCACTGGCAGCACGAGTGACGCACAGCCACACGTGAAATGCGTGCCAAATACAAGTAGCAAATAATGTCGCGAAACACATGAAACACTGAGGACGTGCAATATTCCTGCAATTCCCAAGACATGTGTAATAGATGAGGTATTCAACAGGGATGCAGCACCCGTGATATACAGATAGGATGACCTGTGTGCAGGGCACGTGCACATAAATGGAGAGGTAGAAGGTGCGTACAGATTGTGCGCGGGTAATAACCATGAAATATGCAAACACGGTCATATCACATATCTATGCATATTTAAATACCTTCAGCATTTAAAACGAATGCAACATACATGAAGTGCGTGTTTGATACACACAGTGAGTGCAGTGTCTCCTTCACCCCTAGGCCTAGAGGATGCATTTTCACGCAGATGCCATACATGGCACCACTGGCATGGACAGTCACACACACCCCCTTGCACATGCACGCGCGCACTTCCCATCAGAGGTCTGAGAGGCTGTAGTGCAGCAATAAATATCACTTAGAGTTGACCTTGGGGAGGGAGGAGTTGCCTGATCTACAGGGTGCAGGCCAGTCTGGGCACCGCAGCCAGACACGAGGCCCCTCTTCACCCCATCCCTTCATCACATGGCTCCTCACCATTACCCTGCCTACTGTCAATGTCATCCGAGAGAGAATGCAAGATGTGTTTCTCTGTCACCTCTCCTAGGCGGAGTCTCCCAGTTCCTTTCATCTTTCCTCCAGGCAGGGGAGAGCTGGCTAGCCTGGGTGAAGGGCTCTGAGGTTACAGAGTGGGCAGGGGAGACTGAGGACTGCCTGGCTACAGGGTCTGGGAGACTCTGCAGACAAGATGGGGATGGAGTCCTCTCCTTCACTGTAGTCAGCGCCCAGGGCTGCTAGTTCCTATCAGGGTGAGGGTAGGTGCAGGATTTGCCATGAGGGTGAAGACAGTGAGGAGAAGCACATAGACACACACAGAGCTATGCATGCATAAGCAGCCACACACACACACACACACACACACACACACACGCGCAGACTGTACATTCCCAGGGCGATCCACGCAGCTTCGGACATACACACAGCGTCAGGTAGCACACGGTTGCGTATACAGAAACATAGGCCTGGCCGTGTGCGATGAAACACGTAGGAGGCAGTATGGTGGAGGAGATAACAGCTCCGGCTGCAGACGGACTGGGCCAGACGCGCCACCACTTAATCTCTGTGTGACCTTGGGAAGTTACTTCTCTGCCACAGTCCCCTCATTTTAAAATGGGGAAATAATCATATGTCCCTTATAAAGTTGTGATGATTAAACGAATTAATTTTCGATACTTAAAAGAGTGCCTGATACACAATAAATAATTATTATCTGTCCATGAACATTCCCATACGAGGGGTCATCAAACAGTTCACGGAAAATAGGTATTATGAAAAACACTAGGTATGGATTTCACTTTTCCTTGCATCAAAGTAAATGTGGATTTTAATTCCACTTTCCATGAACTTTTTGAAGTTCCTTCATACACAGAATATATACAATAGCTACTTACACATACCGCTATACATACCTAATCCTATATACACATGAATAAACATTATTCTATACTCAATGGTAAACACACACATATGCAGTAGCAGACACACTCAGAAACATAGTGTGCCTCTACGTATTTTCACACGTACGAAATTGCACATACACATAGCTCTTTGCTGACACGCGCAAATGTCTACATATACACGATGACTTTTATATACAGAATGAAGACAGCAGGGCACAGAAGCCCCTGGGGACGTAAACAGGGGTGATGGGGGCTATTCACAGAAGGGAGGGAGCTTTCCCTGTCTCCAGGAGCCAGGGCTCCCAGAGTCGGTGGAACCATCTGAAGGGGGCCAGGCAGGAGAGGGGCCCACACATGGAGCTGGCACCCCTCCTCTCCCGTGGGGTCCCCACAGGGCTTCTGACAGGACTTCCCTGGGAGGGGTTGCTGGTGTGCTCCCACCGAGCTCGCTAAGGAGATGCCCAGCCCTTTTGTGGCCTCCCGTCCAGCCCAAAGCAGATCGGCAGGGCAGGGTCTGCCAGCCCCCAAGGTGGGTGCTTTTTGCTGTCTGGTTTATTTCTGGGTTGGGGCAAGTCAGGTCAGGGGAGAATTTAGGATCAGAGAATGCTCAGGCAACCTCCTGTGCCAGCCCAGCCCAGCTGGAGACCAGGAGGCCCACTGGTGGTCTGTTCCTAACCCCTGGGCTGTACTCTGGTGAAGGTGTGACAGCAGGAACTGCCCTTGCCCACCCATGCTCAGGGACAGCCCCTCTGCCAGGAAGCTTCTGCCTCCTTGTGGGGCCCGCCTGGACTCCTCACCGAGCTCCGTGGCCAGCACTGTGAGGTTGTGCCAGACACGAGCTTCGCGGTCCAGGGGCACTGCTGTGCGGATGGTGCCGTCTTCGGGCTCAATGGAGAAGCAACGCTCCGGGTCCGAGTGTGGGAGGATGGAATATCTGGGGAAAATGGATGCTCTGGGAGCTGGTGTGCAGACAGGGCTAGAGCTCGCCACCACTCCCCCCTTCTGCCCTTGTTTGCCTTGCCGGACCTCAGGGCCCATCTGGGCAGAGGGCACCAACTTTCTGGGCAGAGCCTGCCCTATGCGCCTAGGATCCTAATTCAGGCTAGAGTCGCCTAAAAAGGCGAATTCACCACCATTAAACACCTGACCTGAGACTCAGGGGCACTAGGTTTCATGTGGGTTGTGGGAAGACTTACAGAAGAGAAGTGGAAAGGGGATAAACACTACCTTTCTTTCAGACTTCCTGGCTCGGCCCTGGAGGCCCAGAGATCTGTGTGTCAGGCCAGATCTCTGACTGGCCTGGACTTTGAGCAAATCACTTAACCTCTGTTCACTCAGCTGCAAATGGGAATGACACCAGCTGACAGGGCTGTGGGAAGTTGGGAAGAGTGGCCCTACTGGAGGCAGAAAAGTCCAGCTTGAATCCCAGCTCTGCCACTTACTGTGTGACCTTGGGCAAATTGCTTAACCACTCTTGACTGGCCATCACTAGGTGTTAACAACTAGTGATGATAACACCTACTTCACAGAGCTGCTGTGAGAATTCAATGTTTTTTCTTTTCTTTCTTTCTTTTTTTTTTTTGAGATTTTTTTGCTACAGGGCACGTGCACTTGCCAGAAAGACAGAGAGACAGAAAGCGAGAAACCTCCCCCTCCAGGGCGGATGGCCACGCCACAATCCCTTCTCCTCCATTCTCCTCTTGGGATCTTGGGTATGCACGCACACGTGCCAGGCGTGAGTCTAAGCTGCCGGGTCCGGGACTCGAACCACGGTCGACTACATAGGAATCCAGCGACATAGCCATTATTCCAACTGCTGGTCCCGAGAATTAAATGTTACCAAGTCAGTAAAATGTGAAGTTCTTAAAGAATGATCGGTAGAGACCCATGTACCAACGAAATTACATTTTCTGTACTGCCACTGGAAGGGCCTCTCTTACCTACCCAGAGGGATACCCAGAGGGATGAGTGGTAAGTTGGGGAGCAGATAGTCAGGTCCTCTAGCTCTCCCTTGACACCCAGGCCTGCAGGCTGGCAAGCCCGTCCATAGGGAGAGAGACTTGCAGAGGGGCAGTGTGCTATGTGTAAGGTAAAGGAAGCCTATCCTTGGGTGGGGTAGCCTACAGCCTAACGCCTTCCTAGAGGCCCTGTCCTTCCCCAACCCAAGCAGCCGCTCACCTGATTGGGCTGGCTGGCGAGTCCAGGTCAGCAGCTGAGATCTGGCCCACCAGGGCTCCAGGCGCCTTGTTCTCAGGCACTGCCAGGTGGTAGGCAGACTGGGTGAAGGCAGGTGGCTCTGGAGCATCCTGCACAGTCACACGCACTGAAGCCACATCCTTGAAGGGCCCTCGCCGCAGGTATGCTGGGTCGATGAGCGTGTTGGTGGCCTCCACACGGAAGGAGTAGGAGCGACGGGTCTCAAAATCGAGGGGCTATAGTGATGGGAGACCAAAAGGGAGTAGGCATGTGGAAACCAGGGCAGGCTTCGGGGTCACAGGAAGTGAAGAGTCTTCCTCACGTGTACCCAGTGTTCAGTCCTCATGCAAGAAGTGGGACTGGAGGGGCAGTGGCCGTGATGATCGGGGTGGGCAGCAGGTTACTTATTTGGTAACTCTAAGTCCATTATTGGGTACCACTCCATCATAGACTTGGATGACCTCGAGCCAGGTATCTGCATGATGAGATGACTACGATCACTAAGCTCCAGAACAGGCGTCCTGAGTCTAGAAATGTGCCCAGTAGGCCAGCCAGTAGCATGGTGAAGGTGTCTGGATCCCACATGGCTGATCTAGTGGTTTGATTCCCAGATCCAGTGGCTTGAAAAGCATGCTGGGTGGAGCCAGCAGGTGGCATGGTGGTTAAGGGTGCTGGACTCCCACATGGCCAATTTCAGTTTGAGTCCCAGACCTGGCAGCTTGCTTTCTTACTTTCTCCTCTCTCTCTTGCTCTCTGGTCAAATTAAAATACATCAAGTTAAATAAAATAATTCTTTGAAAAAGAAAAAGAAAAACATGCTGGGTGCCCATGTGTGTACCCCAAATCCCCAAAGGAAGGAGAAATAGAAAAGGGACTATGGCCTAAGCATTCCCCAGAAGGGGTGTTTTTCCTTTCCCTCTCTGTCTCTGGTGAGTGCATGTGCCTTCTGACAAATTAAAAACAAAACAAACTGTGCCTAGTGTGTGGGTGGGGGGCAGTACAGAAGGCAGGTACGGTAGTCCCTCCTTATCCGCAGGGCGTATGTTCCAAGACCCCCAATCCACCGGATGTCTGAAACTGCAGGTGGTACCGAACCCTACATATATAGCGTTTTCTCCTACGTATACATACCTAGGGAAGAGGTTAATCCATAAGTCAGGCATAGTGCAGGATAACACTAACAGTAAGTCAGAACAGTTACACAATATACTGTAACAGAAGTTGTACAAATGTGGTCTCTCTCTTTTTTTAAAAAAGTTATTTTATTTAACTTTATTTATTTATTTTAATTTGACCAGAGAGAGAGACAGACAGAAAGTGAGAAAGCAAGTCACCAGGTTCGGGACGCGAATCGCGGTCAGCTATGTGGGAGTCCAGAGCCCTTAACCACCACACCACCTGCCAGCTCCTGGTCTCTCTTTCTCACAATATGTTTCTTTTGTTTGCTTGTTTGTTTTTTAAAGAATTATTTAATTTAATTTAACTTATTCATTCATTTATTTTAATTTGATCAGAGACCGAGAGAGAGACAGTGAGAAAGCAAGCCACCAGATCTGGGACTGGAACTGTGGTCAGCCATGTGGGAATGTCCAGCACCTCAAACGCCATGCCACCTGCTGGTCCCCTTTTCTCACAATACATTAACATACCCCACTCACCTATTTTTGAACCTCGGCTGACGTGCGTGGGTAGCTGAAACTGTGGCTAAGGGGAGGGTACTGCGTACGTGAGTCTGAGGGTTCACAGGCAGGAGGCTAACCTTGCGGACAGTGAGGAGCCCATCTCGACCCTGGGAGTCCGTGCTGATGCTGAAGGCCTCAGACCCCTCCCCGTCCAGGATGCTGTATGCCATGAGAGCATTGTCCCCCACGTCTGGGTCCTGGGCACGGAGCCGGCCTACCAGGGTGCCAGGCCCAGCTGTCTCCACCACAGAGAACTGGTACAGGCCTGGGGGCGGGTAGAGGGGACACACATTCTTAGGGAGGCCCCAGCCCTCCTCCCTAACCCCACTAACCCCAGCACTTCCTTTTCCCGGGGTCTGGCTGGGGTAGGGGTGGGGAAGGAGGGCGTCTTCAGAGGCTGTATGGTGGGGTGGTCAAAGTGACTGTGCAGCAACACCCGCCTCTTACTCTGAGGGAACTTGGGGGGGTTGTCGTTGACATCGCTGAGGGTGACGGTTACTGTAGTGCTGCCCGACAGCCCCCCCATGTGGCCGCCCATGTCCTTGGCCTGGATCACTACCAAGAACTCCTCCTGTGTCTCCCGGTCCATATTGGGGATGGCTGTACGCACCACTCCTAGGAAGAGATGCAGGGTCAGGGGAGTGAATATTCCCACGCTGCCCCACCAGGCTCCCGAGCTCCGTCCTCACCAGTCTGGGGGTCCACAGAGAAGAAAGGCAGTCCGTCAAGCACGGTGTATACCAGCTTGGCGCTGTTCCCATAGCTGGGGTCGTCGGCGTCATGAGCCGTCACCTGGATCACTGACGTTCCTGTGAGGGATCCCGGCACCCTACTCAGCAGCAGCAGGGCCAGATGGGGAAGAACAGCAGATGAGGGGGACCCAGATACGAGGGAGGCTGATTGAAGGAGGCAGGTTCCAGGGCAGTCAGCAAGGAGGGGAGGAGAGGTAGGGGGGCTCCAGGAGACGGGAAGCGGGGTGCTCAGAGCCAGAGTGCTCACCCACGTTGGACATCTCGGGCACGGTGGCATGGTAGGGCCCGAGTGGAAAGATGGGAGGGTTGTCGTTGATGTCTTGCACCTTGATGATGAACTCTGATGGGGGCTCCAGGGGCCGGTTGGAGGCTCGGTCCACAGCTTGGGCCAGCAGTACATACTGTGCTTTCTCCTCCCGGTCCAGGCTCTTGGTGACATGGATATTGCCTGTGGCCTCATCAATCACAAAGACGGTGCCTGCCCCCTCACCAGTCAGCAGATACTTGGTACGACCCTCACCTCGGTCAACATCCGAATGCAGCTGTAGGGGTCAGGGAAAAATGGCAGAGGGCTCCAAGTGCAGGGGTAGGAGAAAGAGTCTGGTCTGGGTGGTGTTGGAAGTCCTGGGGGACCAAGGTCATTCCAGAAGTGATGAAGTTGCAGGGAGGGCCTAAGGGCCTCGAGTCAGAGAAGACGTGGGAGGGGTTGATCCTTACCTTGCCAATGAGGACAGGCTCTGGACCGGCATATTCCTCAATGACAAAGAACTGGTTCCAGACCCAGCTCCTTCGAGTCCGTAGCAGTGCAGGCCCGGGGCGCCCCCGGGACCCCGCCCAGGCCCGGGCTGGGGCTGCCAGACGCCCCATGCAGCCCCAGCCACCTAGCCAGGTCAGCAGGAGCCTCACTAGGCCCCACATGCTTGGACTCCAGCCAGGGCTCTGTTCACTGACCCCAGGTGCTGAGGCTGGGCTGGGCTAGGTGGCCCATGAGCTGGCTGGGGCAGAGGGGCAGATGCGTTGGGGCTACCCCATGGATCCACACCTGCAGGACAGGTAGCTGCTCAGGGTCAAGGAACCCTCTATTCCTCCTCCCCACCTTAAATTAGAGGCTGAAGTCCAGACCTCCAAGGAACCAGACACCCCGCTGCCCAGAATTCAGACTAAGACAGAGAATAGACAGTCCGATCCTTCCTCCCACCCAGGCTCTGCCTGTATTCACCTCCAGCCCTCCAAACTGATAAATCTCTGGTCAGTCAACTCTGAGCAGAGAAGCTGGGGAAGAAGCCAGGAGAGGGGATGCTGGGAGGGCTTAGAGTCCCACATCTGGTCCTAGGGCTTCCAGGTTAGGCGTGCAGTCTGGGGTCTGGGGGAGGGAGGGCTACCAGAGAAAGGACTTAAAATTAAGGGGTTGCAGTCTGTGGAGGTGTGGCCTTAAGGTGGCCAGGGTCAGGTGAGAGATGACAAGGCAAGCAGCCTAAGAGAGGGTTGAGAGCCTGGGAAAACCCCTCCCCCAGGGGGAACCCAGCTCTCCTGACCTGTTCCAAGCCCATACTGCCAGCTGCAGTCCTTGAAGGGGCACTGGGCTAGTGAGGCAGTTGCCGGAGCTGAGAGAAGAGGGGACAGGGCCGGGGAGAGGGCTAGGAGACCGCACTGGGGAAGCGGAGGCAGACCCAGAGGCCAGAGACAGCGAGATGGAGGGCTAGACCGACTCAGGGACAGTCCGGCAAAGACAGAGAAGACCAGCTGCAAGAGACAGGATGAAAGAGCAGGGAGGTAGCCCGGTTGTCTGAGAGGCAGAGAGGAGTCACAGGTACCAGCTTGGGAACTGGTCACAGGGGCAGAGGGGCTCTCCGCACCTGTAAGGGACATCCCTGGGCTGCAGGGGTGTTACACCAGGCTAGGGGAACTTCATTCTGGGAGAGGGAGCAGCCAGGAGGGGCAGGGGCAGGGAGGGGCTGCGGGCAGGGAGCTAAAGAGGGGACCATCTCCACTGCTCGCTTTCCTTCTTCCTGCGGGGACCCCTCAGGTTGCTGTGGCTTCTGCCTCTCCTCTCCCGGAGCAGACACACACCTGACAGTCCGTTTGCTCCCCAGGGAAGAGCTAAGCTGGGGCAAGCTGGGACCAGAGAGGAAGGCGGGATGAGGAGGAGACGGGGAAAGGGATAGAGGAGTGGGAAACAGGATAGCAGGAAGGGAAGAGGTGAGGAGAGGGAGGGAACAGAGAAGGAAAGGAGGCGGGAAAGGGAGAAGGAAAAGACAGGAAAGGAGACAGGCAGAGAAAGAAAAAAAGCAAAGAGGAAGAAGAGACGGAAAAAGACAGGACAAGAGGGAGAGAGAAGGGCTGGGGAGACTGGGAAGGGGCGAGAAGCAAACAGGCAAAGAGAAGGACGGGTGAAGAGAAACCCGGAGGCGAACGAGGGAGAGAGATGCGAGGGCAGAAGGGAAAGAAGCAGAGCGCGGGAGAAGGGTGCCGGCAGTGGGCTCCCAGCCGCGGAGCGCACCGCTGGGAAGACACCGCAGGCTGTGGGCCCCCTGCTGACCCCTCCGCGGATTCCCGACCCCGGCCCCGAGGCAGGCGCTCTTACCTGGCACTGCTGAGGGGCCCAGGCCGGCGGGGAGCGCCCCCGCCCGCCCCCGTCGCCGGGTCCCGGGGGCGCAGCCCCGAGCCGATCGGAGCGGGCACCGCGGCTCCGCCGCAGGGCTGG